ATACAAAATCCCACCCATATGCATTCACTTTTAAAAAGTGTTTATGCACAGATTCACTAAAAACATACTGTACACACACGTATGCATATTATATGTATTGTTGCTGTCGGAACAAAACCTCGTATCTCCAAAATGGTAACTTTACAGGAGAAGGAAAAAACATACTCTACCTTTAATGTAAGTCAATGGAACCAGACTTTTTTCCAAGTCATTTTGGGTCGTGTCTTTTGGTCCATTCATCATGAAATTTACACACCATGTAAAGAACAACAGGGCTTTTCAGATTACGTCAAAAACTGAAAAACGACAAAAATGGAGATACAAAGTTTCTAGATGTCCAAAGAAAAACACGATTTTTTGTGATTTTTACTTTTCTACATCATTTGAGCCTGGCAGCTGTTCTTTATACTCTGTGAAAATTTCATGATGAATGGACCAACAGAAACGCTCCAAAACTGCTTAGGAAAAAATCTCTTTCCATAGACCTACATTAAAAGTTAAGAACATTTTGCCCCGTCCTGTAAAGTTACTATTTTGGAATTTTTGAGATTCGTGTTCTTCTTTGAACAGTGACGAAATATATTATTTTTTATATATATATATATATATATGTATTAGGGGTGGGTATCTTTTCGATTCGATTACGATTCAGAGGCTGCGATGCGATTATAAAACGATTATCGATGCATCTTTTTTCTCTATACAGGATCTCTATCTTCCTACTGTCTGAGGACTTGGTAGTTTTAAAGCAAAGTATTTGTAATGATCCATAATGTAAATGCATTACGGATCATTACAAATACTTTGCTTTAAATATCTAAAATATCTTTTATTAATAAATCAAATGGAAGTGATGTGGCAAGTGAACTAGAAGGCTCTCATTCAGAGACGCTGCTGCCACTCATCTGCGGTAAAATGCGCTGTTACCCTGAAATAAGGTCCAGTGGTGATGGGTGTCCATGCAGCGCGTTACAGCCACCCTTCCCGTCTTCTTTAGTGATCTTATAACTTCAGTTTTGGTTTTGTTGTAGAGAGTGTTGGGGGGGGGGTCTGAATGCTGAATCTCGGCTCTAAAGTGTGCAGCATAGCGCGAAAGCCCTGGTTCTCAACGACTGAGAACAGACAGCAGGTCACATAGCACCAAGCAGTAGCGAACGAAAAAACAGAGATTAAGACGAACATTTGGAGACTTATTCGCATTTATAAGCAGCGCGGTTGGTTAAATCTGCAACGAGAGTTTAAAAAAAGTTGCGAAAATGAACTCGCTTCTCTTTCGAATTTTCCCGTTCCACCTTAAATGGTGCAGCAGTTACATTCGGCGCCTAAGGCAGAATTTAAGGTGAAACGGGAGAATTAGAACAAGAAGCTGGCGAATGAGAAGCGACTTTAGCCTCGTAAAACAGCCGGACGCTGAGACATTTTACAAGAAACTCTTCTAGTTTTGAAGAAACGTTTTCTGGCGGAGATGGGAGGAAAGCAGCTATAGCTAAAGCTTAAAGTAGAGCGGAGTAAATCTGCGCTCTCGTTTATATTTTTAGCCCATACTAGGACATCAGCACACACTGGACATTAAATGTTGCGGCTCCCAAGGTGGTTTGACGATTTTTGAAATTTGTGAATCGATTCAGAATCGTTCACGTCCGCATCGCGATGCATCTAAGAATCGAGTTTTTCCCGCACCCCTAATATATATACACACACATACACACTTTAAATTTATCATGCTGATATTTGCTCTTCTGCTTCACGGTCAAAAATAAATTTCCTACTTTTCACAGGACCTGTTTCCACTAATCATCTTTATTATAATGAATATATCTTACAACAAGCCCCTCAGTCTATCCCAATTAACCCCCACATGAGGTAAATAGTTGCATTTCCATTCACTCAGCTTTCTGCTGAACTGTTCATAACCAACAGGAGCTGAAAACAAAGTTTATGTTTTCATTTGTGGCAGAGATGTGGAGCTAACGTATAAAATAAAACTAATCTTCCTCAAATCCTTTTAAAATTATTTAGGAAAATAAAAAACAAACTGTGTTAGACTGCAGTCAAGTAGCTCACACCCTAAATCTTAAACTACACAGTGTGGGATTTTAAAGCGCCCATATTATGGAAAACCAACTCACTGTTTATGAAATAAGAGTTTGTATTTAGTATGTAAACACCGTTAAAGTTGAAAACTACAGTACAGTTCACTCCCCAGTCCATATATAGTAATATAGCTGCAAAAACAGCCTGTTATGAATTCACTGTTTTTATGATGTCACAAAATGTACACATAATCGACCTAATCAGCCTATAGCAATTTAGTCCCACCCACTCACACTGAAAATAATACTTCACAATAAGAGTCCCACATAATTCTGCTGCTAAATGCAAATTTAATAAGACTAAAATATTTATTTATTTGTATTTATGCTTCTACTAATATTACTACTAATAATAATAATTCTTCTTCTTCTTCTTTTTCCTCTTCTTCTTCTTCTTATTATTATTATTAGTAGTAGTAGTAGCAATAGTAATAATAATTATTATAATTATTATTATTACTAGCTGTAGTTGTGGTTTGTGGTGACAGTATAATTGCCCATGAACACTGAGTAAGATGTGTTTAAACAAACTCATACCTGGAAAAAAAAACATACAGGACCCTTTTTTCTCCATATTTTAGTTTACATCATTGGGTAAAACGTTAAATGAAAAACTCTGGCTGGGTGATTTGAGTTGCTGAGCCCTGGCCTAACTCTTATATTTGTTAAATACATTTTGATCAAATTTACACTGAAAGTGCACCGGTGGGGGAAAGAATGGCCGGCTGTTGAGCATCACTCTCTCCCAGGTGTATGTTGCCTGACGTTAGTCTCACACATCACAGAGAGGCTATTTTCCACCTGGTTCCCCTTCAGATCAGACCACGCTCCCTATTTGTTTTCTTCCCCTGTTGTGTGTGTTTATGCGAGTGTTTCGTCTGGCTCAGCCGCGCTCCATAAAGACACGCTGTTCCAAGTCTTGTCTGGCCACCACATTTTCCACTGTTATTCCTCTGCTGGACCGAGAACGGTACCAATGGGACAAACAATGCCAGTTCCCTGAACAGCCTCACACGCGAGCCATTGGGATACCAGGACACTATATTAGCTGTGCTACAATATAACTAGAGCTGCACTGATACTACTTTTTCCCTTCCGATACCGATACTGATATACGATCCTCTAGTATCAGCCGATCCCGAGTACCGATACCAATACTAACTCTATCTAACCTAACACACTTATAAGCCACGATTCTTTTATAATCACATTTTTTAAAATATTTTATTTTGGTAAAATCTGTGTTCTGCGTCACACATAAAACACACTCAGCCTGGCTAGATGGCATTCACTTGTTGGATTATATTTATTAGATGCTTAAGGAAACTTATTTTTGTTTATTAACTGTATATATTTAGTATTTACTGTTATAGAATTAGCAGTAAGAACCATGTTTAACAACTTAAGCAAATGTAAAATATCTTTATTTGAACAGTGTTCAGATAAACCTGTGGTGTTTACACATCAGCACAGCAGCTTCTCTGGCTCAAAAACGGAGTTGAATGTTTTTCACGTCCAAATTTCTCGAGTCGTTTGTCTCAGACGTGCGTCTTGCTCACTTGCGCTGGGTCTCTGAGCGTCCGTTCAGTAGATGACCGTCGTTCACGCTGTCAGTATCAGACTCTCAGTGTTTTTTCTGGCTTGGTTGAAGCGACGGGCCGGGAGACCTGCTGAGTGAGGCAGCTGACTGACAGAGGCGCACCGCAGGCTTGGCTAGTGGACACACAGGCCCCGCATGCAGGCTGCTATGCTAAAGGCTAAATCGAGGCTAACGGCCATTGTGTCCGGCGGTTCCTTCGGCTCTCTCAGTATCATTAACTCAGACTGTGAGTGACCACACAGTGACAGACGACTGATTACTAAAAGAAGCAGCTGAGCCGTTCAGGTAAGCGGATCCGTTAGCGTGTTCAAAAACTGCCATTACTCACCACATCAACATCAAACCGCACCAACCTTCATCTTAAGTGGGGAAAATTTACCTAATAACACAGCGTTTGTGAACCGCCATTGGAGGAGCTGGACCAATCAGAAGTAAGCAAACACTCATGTGCTGTGACATCACAACCACAACTAACAGGCAGTCTGGCGCATCACTTTCAGTGTTCAAGCCTTAAAGGGGAACTCCACCAATTTTTTTAAAAATGTCTGAATGTAAACAGAGTGATTCGGAGTAGTTCTGGTGTGAAATGGTTGATTGTAGAGACTTTCTTTACAGTGGTGGTGATAGGAACCAGGGGTCGCCATGACTACAACACAAATATAGACATTTTATTTACTAAATAGTGAACCTACACGTGCCTTCTGATTTTATATGGAATGTTTATCATGATAAAATGGGAAACATTGAAAGAACACATTTTCTTTGGGGACTATTTTGCCTCACAACACCCCACATGTGACCCTGTGAACCAAATAAATGGATTAACAAGACGTTTTAGGTCAAAACTTCATCACAAAACTGTTGTCAAACAGTGTCTCAGTCATCAGGCAGTGAATTCATAACCATTTCATGTAGTAACTTTCTGTGAGGGAGCTTTTAGAGGTGGACGTCTGGTTCCTATCACCACCACTGTGAACAGTTCTGACTCGGTACGTTTATCTAGAACAGAGCGTTTCACACCAAACCACTCTGAATGACTCTGATTACGTCTTAACCAGTTAATTATGTGGAGCTTTTGAAAAATTGTGGTGTTCCCCTTTAAGCCAGAAAAAACAGATGTGCTGGTCTTCTTGGCCAAAAAGTCAGGCCTGAACATTAACTTATAGAAAATAACTGCAATTTAAAGCGCAGTTATAATATTGGAAAGAAAAATTACAATTAGATATTTTCCCCGAATTGTTCAGCTTTAATACAGCATCTAATATTGAAAAAGGACAGAAACGATCATTTAATAATAATAAACTTACCTCTAGCGGCGAGTCACAGAGGAACCTCTTAAACTGTGAAGAGGAGAGAGAGAAGGGAGAGATAAAAGAAATGTTATTCATCAGCACAAATAGTGCTGAATAGTGCAAATAGTAATTTCATATGTAATTAAATTAAACATAAATTACTCAATATTTAGATCTATTACATGAACAAGCATAACATTAATGCACTTAAACACACGTGACACGGCCTCCCTGACTGCATGATTAAGTACGTCCCCTTATATTCACCCTCTGTTATATTGACCCACTGTTAAAAACCTGCAACAACTGTTTAAAGTCCTCTGTTTGTGTCAACATCTGGCAGTTTTTATGCATGTTGCAGAATGCAAACATCTGTCTTAATGTTCAGCACTTTTCAGCATCATTCACACCACAGCCCCCTTTCTCTATATGATAATCAAAGGCCCAAACTCCAGTCTTGCAGGCTCTCCTGCCCTGAACATTTTCAACTACTTTTACCCCAAAACACCTGATTCAGCTCATCAGCCCACTATCAAACCTATTTTTTGTTTTGTGGCAAGAAATTCAGGAAACTGTAGAGCTCTGTAGCTCTACCCCTGTATTTATAGGATATAAATTCACACAATACTTAAAAATATTATGTGTATTTACTGTTTTGATATCTATAAATATCAGTAGTCATATCATGTTTTGTTGTAACAATGAGTTAACACATTGTCTACAGAGAACACACAAATATGTCTGCAAATTTTAGAGCACAATTTCTTTTTATTTGCTGAGTTTAACAAAGTAGAAAAAAAAATGTGATTTTGAGTCGTGGTTAGAACGGTTCAGTTTACCAGTTTTACCAGGCGGTCTGACCTCAGAAGAACCATAAATATGTGGAATTATTATAGTAATATTTATTTATTTAAAAAAAAAAACAAAGGACAAAGGTTTCTATGGCTATCTAACTAGATGCCTGGTTAATCTGAAATTAGTCTGAAAAGTCAGGCGGCACAACCAGTCAGTCAGATGGAGCAACGAGACCAGCACAGTTTAATAACTGAAACAGGCAATTAAAGCTTTGACAACACTCACCATATCTAAAATATAAAATGCACACATATATGAATGCAAATACATATACAGATATTAAAATGGACGTCTTTTTAATGAGATTTCCAAAACTTTTAATGTTTAACCCATATACATCTTTGTGTGCTATAGATTCTTTGATATTAGATAAGATACACGCTGTTAAAACCACAAGGAGAAAATTTTGCAATGTTTTCCCAAAACCCAAAAAAAAATAAAATAAAAAAAAGAATTAAAACATTTGTTGTTTTTAGGATCAGAAGCATCCTAAAAAGGAAATAAATACATTTTAGCAACAAAATCAAAGCTTTGGTCTCTCAGAGTCAACATGCCCCTCAATGACGGTGCACTAGAATCCTAAAACCCTCCGTGAAAATGTAAACGCCCCCTCATTTATCCAGCAGCAACCCGCAACCTACACACACAGCTCCACTCATAAGTTTGCCGGTTTCCTCCTCTTGTTTGAGCTTCAGGTGAGCAGAGTGCGGTAACAGTGATGTGCAGAGAGAAGCCGACCCAGCACAGTGACTTTTAGTGAGGAGGTTTTGAGGCTGCTGCCTCTTTCATCTGTTCCTTCTCTGCTCAGTGGATCTGCTTTGTTTACTGACTGGACGACTCTCGGTGCCTGTGGATAAGCAGAGCATGTTTCTAGGTTTAGCTCACAAACCGAGCTAAATGAGAAACAGGAGCGAATCTGCGCTCGACGTACATTTGCAGCCGCACCACTCACACATGTACGGACACATGTGGACACACTGTATTCCGGAAACCTCTGTGATGTATGAGGTGTGCTTACGCAAAGACCTCGCAGCCCATGTTGGACAGAGATGCAGGAAACACTGCATCATACTGAAGATAAGCTGCATTGTCAATGTATGCATTCTGCCTTGAGAACACAACGGCAATGCCAAAAGCAGATTTATGAAGATTGATAATGTTTATAAAAGCAGTCATACATTCCTTTAAAAAAGAAAAAGAAAAAGAAAAAAAAAACGTCTGTGTGTCGTTTATATCAGACGGTCTTTAGAGGGGATTTCCAAAGTTTCTGCATAACTCATTGGTTAAGATTAGGGGTGGGCAATATGATGATATTTTATAATTATTGTGATAAATTATGTCACAACAGGCTTTTCTGAACATATTATGGATATCATCAGTACTTACAGACACTGACTAACTACATGTTTCATTATAAAGTGAGCACAGTTAGGCCTGTCAGATTGAGAGCAGTTAGTAAAACACCGAATAAAATCACTGTAGTTGTAGGTTTATTATTATTATCATTATTATTATTATTATTATTATTATTTGTGGCACTACAGGTTACAACTCATTAAATCTCAAAAAAACTAGACCTAAATATTGTGATACATATTGTATATTGTGAAAATATCTTGTGATATATTTTTGCCATATTTCCCACCCTTGCACTCTAAAAAAGATGGTTCTTCAAGGGTTCTTTAGTAAAGAAAATGGTTCTATATGGAACCATGAACCCTTAAAAAACCCTGTGAATAATTAAAGGTTTTTCGTATCATTAAAGAGTTCTTCAGAATGTGCTGCAGATGGTCCTATATAGAACCTTCTATATAGAACCTAATTTGAATATATAGCACCCGAGAGGGTTCTTCTGTTGTTACAATGTCAAGCTTGTATACAATAGAAGAACCCTTTTGGGTGCTATACAGAACCCTTTTTTAAAAAGATTTGTATAGAACCATCTAAAGCACATTCTCCATCAATCTGAAGAACCCTTTCATGATGCAAGGAACCTGTAATCATTCACAGGGTACTTTGATTGTTCATGAATCTATATTGAACCATTTTCTTTACTAAAGAACTCTTGAAGAACCATCTTTAAGAGTGTAGTTAAGATGTAAACAGAGTGATTCAGAGTGGTTTGGTGTGAAATGGTTCAGATGTCTTTACAGTGGTGGTGATAGGAACCAGGGGTCGCCATGACTACAACACAAATATAGACATTTTATTTACTATCCAGAGTTTCCAGGTCAAAACTTTCTTAAAACTATTGTAAACAAAATCTCAGGCAGTGCATTTACATCCATTTCATGTAATAACCTTCTGTACGGGAGTTTCTAGAGGCCAAACTCTTCAGACACCTGGTTACTACCACCTTCACCACCACCAGGTTCATCTAGAACACCGCATTTCATACCAAACCAGTCTGACTGATTCTGCGTACATTTTTACAATTTAATTATGCAGAAAGTTTGAAAAATCAGTGGAATTCCTCAATAATAACGGCCGATACTGAGCTGCTTGCTTCTGTCTGGGATCTGGGAAAACTGTGCTGTTTAGTTTTGTAGTTAGTTTTATACTGTAATGGGGTTTCATGCTAATGTCTTTTGAAGAGCCTAACAGTCACTACTTACTCACTGTTTTACTTCGATTACAGCAATGCAGACTAAACTGGTGCGTTGCACACCAATACAGCGCATCATTGAGGTTATATCAGCAAAAACATGTAAAATGCATCCAAACTTGACTTTTATCATGCAATTCAAATGTAAAATGTGTATCTGCAACTGCTAAAGGGTGATAGTTTGTTCTTTCTTTAATATGTCAGAGTCAGACTGTTAAGACAGTGAAAATGAAACCTAAGTATGTTTTTCTGACTTTTTCCAGCTGTTACACACAGAAATGCACATGCATATACACATTCTGCATTTGAATTTGAATTACATCTTTAATAAAACACTCACACTAGAAATGCAACTGTAAATACACAACTGAAGGAGCAAATCTGCATCTGAATTTTCCGTATAGCACATTATACACAAACAAAATTCTTCTATGAGGAGAACTGAACATGTATATTGTTTAACACTGAGTTTCCGCTGTACTGACTGTGTGGCATCACTGTTACTGAGCACTGATTGGTTGGCATTACTGCTACCGAGTGCTGACAGGTTGGCATTACTGCTACCAAGTGCTGATTGGTTGGCATTCAGTTCAATTTTAATTTTATCTGTGAACATTACTGGATACCACTGTGCAAAAGCCAGAGTCAGAAATCAAAGAAGCTGCTGGAGTAACCACCCCACAAGGTTCTGTACAGGTACATTTTTTGTTCAAGGTACAAACAGTGTAAATGTTCCCTCAAAGCTCCAACAGTAGTTTCAAGGTCTGATTGTGAACCTTAAATAAGTTTCTCCAGGTGAAAAGTTCGTATTTGTACCTTTTCATAACCGAATGTTTTAAACAGAACAGTAAAATAAAAGCCTGGAGACGAGACGGGGTGTGTGGAGTCAGTACAGCTTAGAACATATCATTTCAGTGGATTATGGTTCAGTTATGTTCCCTGACTGAAGGTACTGAGATGGAGCCTTGAGGGAACCACCCCAGTGACGAGAGGGGAACTGACCCAGAGACAGTTTAGTACCTTTATTTCTGAGAGTGTAGAATCCAGACCTCAACGTCACTGAATGTGTTTGGGATTACTAAAAGCAGAAAATGCAAAACCAACAACTACGACCGAACTTGGAAAAATATCTCTGCAGATTCTTTGAGAAACAGAAAGTGAGTCTCCTGAAAAGAATGGGAGCTGTAATAAAGGTAAAGAGTCACTGAAACTCACTAAACACTGAAGAATAATGTGATATTATATTTGGTTGTTGAGGCTTCTGTGTAATTTTCTGTAAAATATGTTTTCTGCTTTTATTTGACCTTGAAAAGAAACAGCTTGCGCTTAATGGCTGTTTTGACTGAAATTAAATAAACGAGGGGTGGTCTCTGACTCTGGCACAGTGCTGTACGTACTCCGTCTCTATTTCTCTCTCTCTCTGAGTAGACGACTCCTCCAGGCGCCACAGGGATGAGTGTTATCTTCAACCCCCCGCTAGTTCACCTCATAGAGAGAGAGATCCAGCCAAGAGTGTGATCACACACACTTAACCTCTCTCTCTCTCGCTCGCTCGCTCACACACACTTAGCTCATAATGGTCAGGAAC